CTCTTGAAATTCCTGTCTTAAAATAATGTACCCTGTAGTGCATGATACAGTGGCACAGATGTAAGTAGATTTTAGAGAGCAGTCGTATGTTTGGAAGCAATTTTTGCCATGGGGCTGCTTAGTGAAGTGACTTAAGGCTCTGGTGGGACCAGGGTTGCTTCCAGATGTGCATTGCAGATGAACACATGCACATATTTGAGGCACTGTGGCAGCTCCAGTGTGGCCACCCAAGTTGCAGCCACACAGCTGAGGAGGAAGAGGGCAGACCTTCATAGCACCCTGCTGGATTGTGCTTGGAAATACGGAGTGCAGCACGTGGGGCCCCTGGGGCTGCTACCTTCACTTGCCTGTTGGAACACACTGCATCCCACGAAACAGAGAACACTGCTGCCTCTGCTACAGAAAGAACATTAAATTTTTAAAGAAAAGCTACGAGCTCATGAGTGATGTATGAGAGCAAATGCCTTTCTAACCTATTCACCCTTGCAAGAAGGAACGGTGCCAGTACTTTGTGCTTGTGTAGAGCCCACTGTCTCCCTGTGTCAGCTCAGGTGTGACGGTGTTGCCCTGCCTGGTAGATGCTGCAATGGACCAGCCCAGGGCAACACTCGCTGCCTGCACCACAGCTCCACACTTCCCACCCTCCTACACTTAGCACAAACCTCAGAAGAGTCTTTCAAGATTTCTTGCAGAGAATGTAAATCTACCCTTTAGCTCTTAAAGCTGCTCTTCAGAGTGATAGAATGCATCAATTTTGGGGGGGATAATTCGGACACGTAATTAGAGTGATGTATGTAGCACATGGTATCGTTCCGATGGAGCACGATCAGCAGCCATGTTAGCCAGTAAATCATAAACCAAAGGAAATCTGAAACTGACTGAAGCCAAATCAACAGTATAACAAAACACGACAGCTAAGCTTATTTGTCTGCAAATATTTATAATGTGTGCTCATGAGGCAGTAGTAACGTACATCTATCTTTCGGCTCTGCTCATGCATTTAATATGAACATGTTATTTGTTCTCTTAGCCCAGTGGACTAACATCAGTATTAGCTACTTCTGTAACATTACCAAACCTTCTTCTAGGCTTCATAGGAAGCTATTGTCAGGCTGGTTTTAAATTTATTACTTCTCATAGAAGTAATGTCACAGCCCGTCTGAACTCCTAGATCAATATGTTCTTAAAGCCAGGGCAGCTTATCACCGACTTTCAAACCTGTCATTTAAAATTACTTTCTGTGCACCCTCCTTAAATTTCCAAACTTCCTATAAACTCTTGAATTTATGACTGCATTGGTTTTGGTCCATGTGGTATATTTGAAAGGTGGCCACAGTTTGATAGCACTGTAAAAGGAATAGTAAAAGTGACTTACAATTCTACTTCTGAGAAATCATCTCTGTGAGGTGAAACTGATTAATTGAAGTCAGCAGAAGTTTTACTATTGACCTGCAAGAGCTCATGACTGCATCTTTTACATCCTCTATTATTCTAGGATTTATCAGCAGATACAATGCTTTAGGGGGATTTCTCTGTAGCTCTTTACCAGCCAGCCAGTAAGTGCTGCTGAATTTCTCTGAGAAATGGATAAGGCTCTGGCTTACTTTGGATCCAGAGTAAAACTGCTATTCTAGATTTATTTTGACATTAATGAAAAATAAATAGACCCTCAGTTTGAAATTAAATTAACCCCCTTCGTCATAATGAACCCAGCCGAATTATGAAGCTCATGTGCAAACAAGGCCAGACTTTACCCCATGGCAGCATGTGGGGAGATTCAGGACTTGGCTTTCCTCTTCCTTCATACTTGATTCTAAAATAATGGCTTTTGAAGCTTTCAAAGCATCTGCAATGAGAACAGAGGGCTTTATTTTTTTTATTTAATAGTATTCAGTTTGCAGTAAAATTCCTGTCTTTTAGTACTAACAAATAGTTGAGTAGAGTTAAGTACAAAACTGGGACATTCCCAGTGGAGAGGAGGACTGACCTCTTTGCCATGGTGTTTTTTACCTTGGTGGAGTTAGCAAGACATCATCCTTAGTTATCAGCTGAACCAGAGATGAGTGAAGTGACTGAGACATGGATGTTCTACTTTTTATGAGGTATTGTCAGCTGGGGTTAGAGGCTCACTTGGTTCAGGAAGTTTCTGGTGAGTTTCAGGTTCTTCATTGGAAAAAAAATACCATTTCCTGATGCAAATTCACTGAAATTACCTTTATATATTTGTTGATATGAAATTGCTAAAGTAAGATGGTTTTCTGTGCTGACACAAGAGGCAAGAAGCCTTACTTATTACAAGGACACCACACAGCCCAATAATACTGAACATAAGGCTCACACATTTTCTAAACATTAGGTATCCAAAATATTTCCAGGTTTTAAATGTTTCTCAGGAGTGTTGATAAGCCCTTAAGCAGTGGGTTGGTACATAAAATCTAATCAAATGCAAAGGAAGAACAAAAGAGAGAGGAGAAAAGTTGACTTCTGCATTTGTAATTATTATTCTGGGATTAATGAGGTCAGATTCTCAAAGCCTGTCTGACTCTATGGGATTAACAATAACACAATTACTGTCAGAAGCAAGGTTTTCACAATGAAAACACCTCTGTAAAATGAGATTTTAATTAATCGAAACTTTCTTGTATATAAATATAATTAAGATGATCCCAGTCAAGGCAATAATTGGTTTAAGTCAAGATACTTGGGAGTATGTGTTTTTTTTCTTTTTTTTGGTGTATTTTATTCTTAATGATCCTTGGGTTTCCAGAAATGTAACTTTGAGCTATATTGCTGTCTGTGTGAAGCAGCTAATTTGCACTCACAGAATCCTTCATGAGTTCTCATGAGTGAGGTACTGCCATGCCAGTGTTGTAGACATCATTTTTGATAGGCAGGTATTTCATGCTTGTTGGAAGAGGTGCTTCTTGAGGCAGTTTTAGAATTGTATGTACAATAATTATATTTGCATTTGTAAATACTATTATTGCAACATTAAGGTTTATTCTTAAATAAAGGAAGTCAAGATTTAAGATTTCCTATGTGGTCTCAATTGGCTTTCCTTGTGTGTGTGTGTGTTAAGATGTTGCCTCTAATTATATGACTATTTCTTATTTTTACTCCTCAATTTTGTCTTTATTTTGAAATCTGACTGCTTTAGTAGCACTTATTCAGTATTTTGTCTTCTTGTTTTTAAAAGTGCTGGTCTTACTAATGACACAGTATTCAAACCTTACACCAAAGGAGAGTAATTTTACCTTTCCACAAACATTTATTGATTTGGTTCTATAAGACCCAGAGGAGGCAAGAACAGCTTCTCTCCTTGCCCTGTTACAGTTGGGGCAGTGACTCACTAAAGGGCTCAGGTCACGTCTTCCAGTGAATTCAGTGGTTCCCTTGTTAAAGCACAGAGAGAAACCTGGTTTTTCAGAGTTCAGGCAAAATGTGACACAGGGCACAGATATTTAAAGCCTAGGAGGAGCTCCCCTTGCCTGTGCTGGCTGGTAGGCTCAGTCTCTGTTCTGTGCCCAAACAGGCAGGGACATGCTGGGCATGTGGTCACTTTGGGCTCTTGGAGCACTTGACTAAATGTGGGATATAGATAAATGTTCAGGTGAAAGCGAGGCTGTCACCGTTCCCTCTCTGCCGGGTGCCTTTGCCAGCGCTGAGGAACCGGGCTGCCCAAGCCACCCTTCCCCACGCTGGGTCCACACAAGGCAGCTGCTGGGGGAGCTGGGGCAGAGCAGCCCCCGGCCCACCCAGGCTGGCCCCCAGCACCCCCGGGGCACCGGGGTTGGGTTTGGGTGCGTGGCACTGCCCGTGCTGGGGCTCACAGCACACAACCATCCAGGAGGGAAATTCAGCACCGCAGCTCCCTGCCCCTGCCTTCCTCCTCCTCACAAGGAACGGAGGTCACTCCTGCACAGAAATACTTCAAGAGAATTCTTATCAGCCATTTCATCTGGATCAGGATCGGTGTGTGTTTTGATGGATTGAAGGTGACATGCCAAACTTTAATTGCAACCAGAGGATCCTAAGTGACAAATCTGGTTGCTTTATAGGCCTTTTAAGTAAACAAAATGCTTTTAGCAGGAGGCTGCAGCAGACTTAGTGGAAATTAGCCATCAGTTCTGGGGTTTACTCTTTTGGAAAGAACTACGTCAAATAACTTGAAGCTTTAATGAAAGTACAAGTATTGGAAAAATCAGAAGGAACAAAATATGAAGGGATTCTCAGTAGGTAGGTAGTAGGTAGTCCTGCAATGAGAGAAGAAAATACAGATTTTCATCAAGGCATTGATCCTTCAAGCTCCTACAGTCATCCCTTAATCCTGTGACAGTGCAGGGCACTCGGGATGGCAGGGCAGCAAGATGCAGAAACGCCTGCAGAACAGGAGTCCCTGTGTGTTCCAAGTGCACATCAGAGTGTGGCAGCCGCCCTCGCTGGGATGTGGTGCTGTTCTCGCCGGGCTCAGCTGTTTCCTGACAAGCACCTGGGAGTCTGCACAGAGATCCCTCAAGTGGCTCAGGTTTTGGCTCTGCCTTGCCAGCTCACTGCAGAGGAGCTGTAGCCTGTTGGTAACCCAGTCCCTACCTTCATGTCACCCTGGAGATGTCTGAAGTGCCAGATCCAGGACTACGTTGAAGATGGACATGTTAGGAAATCCTCAGTAACTTGGGGGAAAAGTCTTCATTGGGACATCAATGTATGTAATAGTGGTGGGGAACATAATTGACCCCAAGCCTCTGATTTGAAAAAACATGGAAAACTTTTCACTCTGTGTTAGACCTTCTAGAAAGAGAAAAAATGTCTTGGGTAGAAAATCCTTCTGACTTCAGGGCTGTCCCTACTCCCAGGTATTTGATGGTTAAGGGCCCTGAAGAGAAATAGCTGTTGTGAGCTGAGGTCAGATCCTGCCAGAGCCATTTGTACTTCAGAGCACTGATCTCAGAGTACATTTTCAGCAAACACCAGCCTAATCACGTTTTCATTTTTTCCCTCAGATTGTGGTTTAAATGTGCACAAGCAATGTTCCAAGATGGTCCCAAATGACTGCAAGCCAGACCTGAAGCATGTCAAAAAAGTGTACAGCTGTGACCTTACCACACTAGTAAAAGCACACTTCACCAAGAGACCAATGGTGGTAGATATGTGCATTAGGGAAATTGAATCTAGAGGTAAGGCATCGTTAATGGACTTTTGTTGCTTTACTGATAATCCATTTAGATTGATCTGGGTCATCTGGGTTTCTGCTGAATGTATGATTGCTCAAAACAGATTTGCACAAGACATTTTATGACTGCCAATTACCCTGCACAGCTAATACTATACTGTGCATTATTTCATGGTTCATACCATTTATAATTTTTATAGATTCTGCTAGAAATTGCTTAATGGGCAGTTACTGCTTTGTAGATACATATTAGTGCCTATCTTTCCAATAATATATTTATTTTAAAAGATTAAGTGGACGTGGCAAAACAAAGGGTGTTAATGAATGTGCTCACTTTTGCTAGCTCTCCTAGCCCACACTGAGTATCCTTTTCTAGCATTAGGGTATTTGTTTTCATTCTGAAATAATGACTGATCATCAAGTATGTTAATCCGAGTTATTTTTAAATGAGTTGTAATTGGTTTAATATGTTCCTTCAGCTCTGAAGTCATTTGTGTAAATACAGTTTAGTGCTGATAGAACAAGGCATCTACTGCAATGGTCAGGGTTAAAAACCCAGGATAAGGTTTCATTCTGGAAGAAAAACCTGATAAGGCTTTTAAAGCATGTCTTCTTTTTCTGCCTTAAATGAAAAACTTGCCAAGGGAAGAACAAAGTGGAAGGCAACTGTGAAAATAAGGACTAATTTTAATCTTGTTAAAATGTTCATTGCAGGTCTTAATTCTGAAGGACTGTACAGAGTCTCAGGATTTAGTGATCTTATTGAAGATGTCAAAATGGCATTTGACAGAGGTACAGCCTTTCCTGCATGCTGGAACTTGGTGCTGATGTATAAAATATATACAGTTTTCTGCAGAGCCTCTGTCTCACGCTCCACTGCACCAGTGGTCTGAAGGAGTCCGACGGCTGTGCTGGCAGGAGGGGAGACACCCCATCAGAAAAGCACATCAGCTTCACTTTGGCCTTTATTACAAAAATCTACTTTTCTCCTTCCATCAGTATCTGTGCTCCAGTAACCATGTGTGTAGGAAAGGACAAAGCTTTGTGAACTACTGCCCTAGTTTGCAAGTCAAACTGCGCTCAGAGGGGTGGGGGAGGGATAGAGGGTAAGTGGTGAAGTGCCTTAAGAGAGCTGTGCAACTTAAATCCTTCTTTCTGGATGAAAGCTCCAAAATAATAAGATGACTGCAATAGTGCAAACAAAGTTTGAATTATTGCAGACTAAAAGAAGGTCACTGAGAACAAACTCTTCTCTCTGAGAAAAGACAGTGGGAAAATTAAAGGCTTTCCAGCTGCAGTCCCTCTATCCCAGTAGAAATCAAGGCCAGAATCTGTGGTGGAAACTCTCTTTCCTGTTTGTCTGGAGGACTGGACCGATTCACACAACATCTGCAGTGTTAGCAGGGTGGGGACATGCTGGAGAAGCCAAGTTCTGGATCTGTGTCCGCTGCACTTTGGAGTAGGTAGTACGTTGTAGTTAAATGGTGAACACATGTTTTTCCTATAAAATAGGGGAGCTGTGGACAAAGCTGGTTCTTTGCCTTTTACTTTTTTTCCCAGACTCCCTGATTTCTCATGCAGTGCTGATGAATGCGTTTCTTTGCAATGCAGAGCTAAACGTGCACACCTTAATCCAAGGCAGATACTGCAAGATCAGGCAGGCAGGTTTTAAGAAAAAACCCAAGATTATTTTTTAGTAATTATTTGAAACAAAAAAAAGATATGTTACTTTATTAAATGCTTGAGGTTTTCACCCTGAAACCATGAACATCACAGTCCAGTAACTGTTTTACTTACAAAAGCCAAAATCTGTAGTTGTTTCCTTTGCAATAATTTTTGCTTAAGCAAGTTACTATTTTTCTTTTGAATACTGTTTTACATCTGTTTACGTTTCCAAGGCTTTAATATCAGTGCCTTCTCCACACAGATGGGGAAAAAGCTGATATTTCTGTGAATATGTATGAAGATATCAATATTATCACTGGTGCACTTAAACTGTACTTCAGGGATTTGCCAATTCCACTCATCACGTATGATGCCTACCCAAAGTTTATAGAGTCTGCAAGTAAGTGTAACACATTTTTTGTCTGCTTTTCATTCTTAGCCTTAGTCCTTTTCGTGCAGGACTGGCTTATTCATTATATAGCTGTCCAGTCAGCTCTTACCCTGCATGCCCAATTTAGTAAGGATTGCAGAACTAAACATGCAGTGCACATTACGGCCTGACCGTGTGATGCTCTGTGAGCATGGTTACATTTTCTTTGCCTTTGTCACCTTCATCACACATTATGGATTACATCACTTGTGTGACTTGCGTGAATCCTGGGTACTTGACAGTGATTATTTAAAGTCTGTTGGGTTTGTGGTGCCATAAAGAAGGTGATTTATGGAAATGTTTAGAAATAAGGTATCATTTGTTTCTGGAGTTGTCCATTTTGAGTGTTTTCATAAGCTGAGAACCACTCATCCCAAAGCCACCTTTGGGGCTGGCCTTGCAGAAAGTAGGCTTACTGCAAGAAGGGCAGTAAGCCCAGCTGGAACTTCTCTCCCAAACATCCTAGCTGCCTGAAGCATGTCTGTGATGTGTTCACACCAGCCACACCTGGAAAGGTGTGAGGTAGCTGTGGCTAGAGAACAAGGACTGCATGCTGGCTGTACAGCTCCTTCTCCAAAGAAGGCTTTTTCCAAGTTGTATAGAGACAGCCAAGGGCACTGATGGCAAAGTTCCTAGTACCTTCTGTTCTCCCAGAGTTGCACCTGTAGATTATTTGTGCAAAGCCAGTCCAGTTAGCAAGGATTGCCAGAGGATTTTTTTAGTAGGCTGCAGGGAATCTTTCAGTGGAGTGCAGTTTGCTTTGGGGAATTTTCTTTGTCCAAAACCAGTCACATCCTTATGGTGCTCTGAGCACCTCTTTGGACAGACAGATCCTCCGTGAGTAATCCAGCAGAGCTGTGAGACCCTGTCTCCTGTGCAGGCCACCAGTTGCTGCCTTTCTGTGTGTGAATTCTGGCTGTCTGTGTGGTGACAGTTGAACATCTGTGTTTCAGAAACCACAGATCCGGATGAACAGCTGGAAATTCTCCACGAGGCGCTGAAGCTGCTGCCACCTGCACACTGTGAAACATTACGGTATCTCATGGCACATCTGAAGAGGTGGGTGGAATAGCTGCAAAGAACTCTAAGCCACACTCATTTTTAGCAAAAGTCCATGTTAGCACCTCCAGAAAAGTCTGGTCAAGGCCCACCAAATCCTGGAGAAGGCCTGTGCACAACGGCAAAACTCAGACCCAGGGGATTATCCCTTGGAAAGCAAAACCAAAGTGGCATGTTAGGGTGTCCATTTTAGTTTCTCAAGTAATGTGAACTTCCTGTCAATATGTAAGAATCATTCCCTTTCCTTAGTAAAACTACTTTATTTTAAGCTTTCTTCCACATTCTTTCATTTTGTAGTTCTTAAACAAGTAGGACTGTGTTGACTCTGCTGAGTGCCTCAGGCAAAATTCAGCTACTGAGTTCCTGCCTGGTTTGTCCCTTTATTTCAATGACATTTCTAATGGGTATTTTAAAATGGACAAAGGGATGAGAGTTGTAGGAACAAAAAAATCCTCCTTACAGCTTGTGATCTGTGAAGTTAATTTTTCCTCACCCTGTTCAAGATCAGCTGTTGCTGCTCTACCTAGCAAGTTGCTTTTGCTCCTCATATTTCTGGTATATGTGAAAAGGTAGAAAGGTGACAAAATTCACTATTTTTAAACTTCTCTTTTAATGCTTTGCTAAGAGGAGCTGTGCTGCTCAACAGGCCATTGTCTTACTGCTAAATGCAGGTAATCAGACACAGCTCCTTTATTTGGAATACTTAGAGGCTGGAGACACAGCAACTTGGTAACATCAGTCTGACCTGTTTTCAAATAAAAACTAAGGCAGAAAGGGAGAGACAGAAGACAAATCTTGTATACCAAAGGATTTGTTCATTAAGTGTAAGTGAGCACGGTCTGTGTGCTCTGAGGACAGCACCAACCCACCACAAACCCACACAGCATTTGCTTTTACTCACTCCCAACTGTTTCACCTGACACTCCCATGTGGGACCTGCTGGAAACATTGGCCTCTCCTTCTCTTGGGGAAAGGCACACATTTTTGTCCAGTTTCTCTGGTTTTCAAGCATATGCAGGCATGGTCTGGCACAGAAGAAATGTGAGAATCACTGAGTGGTTTTTTTTTACAGAGTAACACTCCATGAAAAGGAAAACCTGATGAGTGCAGAAAACCTGGGCATCGTTTTTGGACCAACTCTTATGAGAGCGCCGGAGCTGGATGCGATGGCTGCACTGAATGACATCCGCTATCAGAGACTTGTGGTGGAGATGCTTATAAAAAATGAAGACATTTTATTTTGAATATTTTTGGGGTTTTGTAATAAAAAAGGAAGCAACAGTGTTCTATGGATGAAGGAATATTTTAAAGTAATTTAATGGCTCTTGTCACTGAATTCCATATTTGCTAGAGCTTTCAATGTATTCAGGATAAAAATGAAGGAACTCTTTGTCGTTTCTGTAGTGCCATTCAGCTGATGTTGAAAAAGGTTAACACATACTTTCCAGTACTAGTAATCCTGGGTGTTTATCATGTTAAAATTAAAAAAAAAACAAAATGCCTAAAGCTATTGCATGATTTGCTCCCTGTTCTCCCTGTTCTGGTGAGACTCATTCCATGAAGAAAACAACTGAACTGGTGCAGCATCTTTGTTCTGGATAGTTTGTGATTGTAATTCAGCATGTTTCTCCGTGTAAACCTGTTGTGATTCTGCTTTTTTTGTTCTATGTAATTGGTTTCTGATACTAAAAAGAAGGCAGACTTATGTGAAATGGAGCCTCTGGCCATTTATTGACATTTCATATTCTTCTCTTCCACTTTTGGGGCTGATTTCTTCTTGGGTTTCTTTCCATTTTTTCATCATACAGTAATTTGTTTTTAACAGAAACAAAATTGTACTTTAAATGCTACTTTAAGTAATTCTCCATGATGTTTATGGTGGTTGCAGTGAAATCTGCAATACTGAAGAGTGTTCCTTTATTATTATTGCTATTTCAATTGTAATTTTGTATTTTTATCTGGCATGCATATATTAATTTATTAAATTTTGCTTTTAGAACTCTAACATTATGCTACTTATTTTTACTTACTGAACTTATTTCAAAAATACTGATTGTTTCATTTCTTACATGGGCACTTTAACACCGAACAACCTCTGACTTAAAGAAATGAGTTAGAGTTTTACCAGTTTTGACAAGACTATTCTAAGTATTTTGGGTCCTGACACATTGCTAAGGTTCCCACAAATTCCTGTCTACTTTGAAAACTCCTTTCTTCCTTGTCTAAGATGCCTCTCAAGAAGGCTTCAGAACTCTTAAATGAACCAAGGAAAGTATTGTCAAGCCATCTACATCTTCATGAGATACATCTATTGTTATAATTGCCTATATGTGAACTGGAATGGCAGTTTATAATTACACACCTGTAGCTGCCCACAGTAGATGGATACACCACGGAATTTCAAATGCAGACACGTCCCAGAACACTCACTTTGTACTTCAAATGTTCAGCTCTGGTGCAAGCACTTTGGTCTGCCCCACAAAGCACCTGGAGCAGGGGGGAGAACAAGGAGGAATAATCCCCTAGTGATCAGAACCAGCTGACAACAGTAAGGTGCCTCACTGCATCCCGCCCCTCCTTGCATGTCTGGCTAGGAGAGGAGGGGTGAGGTGGTGGTCCTTCTGCAGCTCTCCTGAACTGGGGATTGAAGGATCCCAGGAAGGAAAAGGTGAAGCTGGGGATGTACAATGGTAAGCATGTGGGGAATGCTGCTGTGGACTGGGGGCTGCTGGGGAGGCAGGATGGGGGAAGTTTTGAGGGAATCTAAAGTATGGTTTGGTTTGAGGTTTTTTCCAATCATCCGTAGTATTAAAAGTAGCTTGCTGTTAACAACTCCTGTACTGATTAGTGCACATTATCTCTTTATTTATGGCAATGAGCTGCAGCAGATGGAAATCTCTACGTCTCCAACCATAGCCTTGTCTCCCCCCAGCTCAAAAGGAGTGGCCCATATGCTGCTAGTCACATCTGCCTTGCGCTCCAGCAGCCGCACGTGTTCACCACTGCCTTGCTCCAAGCCAGCTCCTAAACTTGCTCTATCTCCCGCCGCTGCCCCGGCGCTCAGTGATGTATTTCCTCACTCGGCCCTGTGTTTTGGATGGCTTCTCAGGCCAAGCATCACCCCTGCCCTTTGCAGCGTCCTGTCCCTGCACTCAGCCCTTGGCAGCACTGGAACGAGCTGGCTCTGTGATCAGGAGGAGGGATGTTTTCTGCAGGTGATGCTGGCGGGGTGTTGCGCTGCAGCGTTTGCAGTGCCCGCTCTGTGCTTGCCCTGGCAGCCGGCTGTGGCCGCAGCATCCTCCTCGCACAGCGGGAGCTGACCCAGGGCAGGGCCGTGTCCCTCCGTGTCCTTCGGCAGCCCCGGGGAGCCCGAGGAGCCCTCGGCTCACCTGGGCAGAAGGCGGCTGGCCCGGCAGTTTAGTTCCCCTTTCCAAAGCCTACAGCGGGAAGCACGTACTAAGTAGCAGTAATTAGAATAATTACCTTTTCTTCTGCTGTGAAAGATCTAGCTTCTCCGTCTGGGTGCTGCTGACACAGCTGCTCGCCTTGCTTTGCTACAGGCGCTTTCAGCTGCGTTTAGAAGCGGTGGTGGCCATCGAGAGGTGGATCAGTGAGAGGAAAGGACGCTGAAAATAGCGAGCCAGATTTGCTTGGGGATGGTCAGTGCACATAGGGCAAACAAGCTTTGTTAGCTACTAGTGAGCACCGGCCTCCTGCTGGAGAGGTGCCCTCTCAAGCCCAGTTTAACAAGTGACTATAATAATAAAAGTTTCTGCAGGAAAGGAGGAAAACCTAAATGGGGAGCCACTGCTGAAAGAAAAAACAAACAAAATTCCCTAACACACATACACGCAAAAACCCAAAGCCAGAGCAAGCAAGGGCCCTACAACTCCCCCCACCCAAAAGTAAATAAAATCACCCTCCAAAAACCCATGTCAAGAAGGGCAGCTTTTCCCTGATGCCCAGGCCCCTCTGCCCCTGGGAGCAGTGACAGCAGCTGCAGCACAGGAGCTCGGGTCAGGCAGCCAGGCCCTGCTGGCATCAACACCCTCCACTCTCCCCAGGTCTCACATTGTGATGGGCTATGAAGGAAACTGCATGCCAAGGGATGATATAGCTTCAGAATGTGTTTAACACCAGAAAATATCAATATTCAACTAATTAAGGCTGACTCTGTCTCCAGCCACCCAGCTCACCCCACATGGAACACAGATTCACATTTCTTGGATTCTAGTATGTGGGTCATGTGTTGTGTTAGGGTCAGGAATGTGGGATGGAGGACCCCAGCAGTCAATGAAGTGCTTTCTTGACTTGGAATCCCAAGAATCTATATGAAGTGACTTTTCTTTTTTCTCTTTAATTGTAATTTTTTAAGTGTGTGGGCAAAAGCCTCCATTTTAATCTTGTTTTTTGTTACTATTGTAATGAAGCTCTGATCTTTCCTGAGTGGTAATCATTTAAACAGGTAGTGCAGAAAAAAAGCCTTTGCAGTGAATTTGATATTTCTTTTTGCTAACCAGGAAGATGCTTTGCATGGGCATGCAAGCAATTGCATGTTTTAAGTTTCATTTATTTGATTTTTTTAATTAAACACAGAAAGCGGGCATTTTCCATGTTTGTATTAGTTAAGTGACAATAGAATAGATAATCCAGGTCTATGAGAAGCAAGGGCTATCACCAAGTGGATTTGTTCTCTGAAGGAGCTGATTTCCATGAGGAGTAAGGGTTGTCTCTAGCTCTGTTGACCTTGCTGTCTCCAGTGCTGCAGGGTACGTGTGGACAGCTCGGCAGAGACACTGGAGCCAGCTCATGGGCAAAACCTTATCAAAGGGCAGGTGGACACAGAAAAAGATGGGGGAAAAGGGATTAAACTACAGGTCCCCACCAGAGGGATGAGTGAGCACCCCCATTTCAGGCTGCAGAGCTCGGGGAAAACACTGTGTGCAGAGGGCCATAGGCAGGGAACCTCTGGTGAGGCTTTAGGAGAGCTCTGTGATGAGGGAAGCAAGCTGCCTTCTGAAACAAGAACACAAGCTTCTGCTCATGTCAGCTTAGCTGACAGGATGGATAAACCTGTTATTTATAATTAGATTTAATAACAAACTTTTCTGGTCCTTCCCCCTCCAATGGCAAAGGAAGGAAGAAAGGCTTCTAAAAGGCATTTATGATATACTCACTTTGTTCCTGACCTAATTTTTGCATGCTGATGAATGTTCTGCAATGTTTTTATTACAGCTATAATTATATTGCAGTTGGGGAAAAAAAAACATTTAGTGAACCTAGCAATCATGGGTTTCTTTTTAAGTCGTGCAAAATTACTGCTTAGCAACTACACCTCAGCCCTAGAAGGCTTATGTAAGGCAGGAGGAGGAGGGCCAGGACGCAAGTCGTGGATCACAGGGGCTGCTGTGCCAGCCGCGTAAGGCAAGGTGCCAACCCTGCGCTCTGGCCACACGCTGGCGGGACAGCAAGCACAGGGCCCTGTGCCTGGCTGTGTGAGGGGCTGGGGTGGTCCTGGCACTGCCCCCCCTGTAAACTTCCCCAGGGTCCCTTCCCTGCAGCACGGGACTGGTTGGTGCCCTGACCTCTGCCTCTACCTGAATCCAAGGACCCCAGGCTGATGTACTGAGAGGAGAAAGCCTTACCTGTGCATTGGGGAGTCCAGCTCTTCTTCAGCTTTTCAGCACATTCTTCCCCTGCCTTAGTCATGGACATTTGGAGTTCTGCTCTTCACCAGAGACCTTGCATAATCTGATCATTTCTTCATGCTGGCCTGATTGTCTCTCTGTGATCTGGCTCATACCACAGAGATACTCTTCTTGATGCCTCCTTCTAAATCTCAGTTTGGACAGCATGATTCAGTGATTATCAAATGTCTGTTGCTGATTTAACAGAGTAACCTTCTTCTTTGACCTCTCCCAGGAGTGATGTCAGTAAGATGCTCAAGGAACTTGTTTAAGAGCCTTTAGTTAGATGTCCTTTTCTATTTCTCATGTATTTTTTCTCAAGGACACGTATAGCTCTTTACATGACTCAGGTGTTTATCAGTACTCTGCCATGGTCAATTGGAGCAAATGGTTCTTAGGCCTCTGGGAGCCTTTAATTAATGTATTTCCTGAGGCAATTAGGCATTATTTTGAAATATATTTTTGGCAGCCAACCAGGATCTATTTTCAAGTATTATATTGCCTGAAATTTTTCTTTCTTGCTACCAAGCCTGAAGATTGTATGCTCAGCTTTTTCTCTGTGCCTTTTTTTTATGTCTCATTACTAACTCTGTCACTAATGCAAATAGGATTGTACAAACTATTAAAATCACTCATTTTGTAGATTAATATTCATAAATGTATCCTAAAGCTTGCTTGAAGGATCATTCACTAAACTCAAATGAACTTAGCACAATGCTGTTTCTCACTGCTCAAATCCAGCACCTACTCTGTTCTCAAAAAAGGGGAGATTCCTCTAATTTGTTATCTGTTCTTTTATCCCCTTTCATGTTTTCCAGCATCATGATGCTGGACATATGTGGTTTATACCACAACAGCACTCATATGACATCTTCCACTAAACTACTGGAATTCAGGTACACTGAGCATCAGCAAGGTGAGTTAGACACCACCAATGTGGTGCAGGACAAGATACCTCACAAAAACGGAGGTTTAAAATCCAACTGAGTACTTTTATTTAAAGTAGGTAGAGGCCAACAATGAAATACTTCTGGAGGAGGTGGAGCATCTGTTGCAAGCTGCTGCAAGGTCAGTTGCATTGACATTTGCAAACCCCTTCCTCATGGAAAACTGTGAGCTTCTCCTGGAAGTACTTCTCCGTGCCATTCAGAGAAAAGGCATCATTTCCAAATGTGTTACAGTACAAATATGTTACAGTAAAATGTATAAGTACATTTGGTTTAAATTTAATTCAAAAAAATCCCAAACCCCAGCAATCCATGTTCAGCATTGCAAATACTCATTCTCAATCATTTCAAATACACTGCAATGCTGAGTC